GCATGCAGGAAATCATCTAAAAAAAGAATTAGGGAATGAAAATACTACCTATGTTTTACAAGATGCATTGAACATATGTTATGGATATCAATAAAAATATTAGTATGTAATGTTGGCAGGGATACAAATATAACTGTGTTATACATAACTGGATGTTAAAATATTTGTTAAAAATAGAGATCTTACTTGTATTTCATTTATCTATAGTAATTTCCATCATTCAATATGTGCCTAACTTTGTGTATTTTTGTGGGAAATGACTTAGACCACTTGACTGGTGGTGAGCATGATGAATGTGTTTGATTCAAAGCCTTTTTGTGTTTGAAAGTACACAAAGTCATCATCTTTCTTTCTTCAACTACTCTACTGTAGGATATTATATTTTCTAGTTGTTATCTAAATAAAATTTAGCTCACCATCAGTTCATAGGCTGATTGTACTATTATTAAACAATGTATTGATCTCAGCATGTTGTCAGGTCTTTATTCTGGCAGTTTCCAGAGGTGCTGATTATGACGCTGAGTCGTGGTCATACTTTAGAAGCTCTACACAGACATTTGTACATGTTGAATGGTCTCTTTGAAATAAGATTAGTTATTCAGGAAACCTGAGCTTTTGAGTCACATCCTGAAACTGTGGATGGATACATAGCAAATTAACTGAGGAAACAAAATAATATTTTAGGGATTATTATATGAGATGAAAATGAGCTTCACTAAGGTGCAATTAGTTGAAAGATAGTACTGTATGTTAAAATGAGCACAGTTTTTACAATTAGATATACACATCTTTTCTTGCTCAAGATTGTATGACCTTGAGTAATTTACTTAACTTTTTGAGCTTCAAAAGACTCATTTACAATATTGGGATTATAATAATAGTAACTGTCAATGTTAGTAAGACTTAAACTATCGACATCAAGCATCTGGCACAGTGCTTGACACCTGGTAAGAGCTTAATAAACTATAGTCCCTATTATCCTTAATTTCTAAATCCCCTGACAAATTTGATGCTTGAGCCCAGATCTCCTGGTCAAGTTATTTTCAAGTTTTTGCTTAGTGACAAGGTGTTCATCAGCAAACACCTTTCAAGCATATAGAACACTTTACTATTCTCATAGCACTTTCACATACATTATCTCATTTAATCTTCAATACAAATATGCCAGTCTGTCATTACTTCCATTTTATAGATGGAAATTGAATTATAATTTGTCTCTAAGCACATTAGTGGTTGAAGCAGAGCTGAAATTCAGGTTGATACTTATACCATTGTGCCTTTTATTATAACAAGCTCCTTAGCTATTTATCAGTCAGTTTATGGAAAGATTAATTAATCCTGTCAATTTTTATTTTAAGATTTTTATGAAAAATATTTTTAATTTTTTAATTTATTGATTTTAGAGAGAGAGAGGTAGGGAGAGCGAGATACATTGATTTGCTGTCCACTTATTTATGCATTCACTGATTGCTTCTTATATGTGCCCTGAGCGAAGGTAGAACCCTCAACCTTGGCGTATCAGGACAACGCTCTAATGAACTGAACTACCCAGCCAGGGAAGTACTGTCAGCTTTTATAACACCTTGCTATGATTCTATAAATTTGCTTTAGATGGCTTTTAGCTCCAACCATAATCTCACCTATTTGTGACTTGTGAAATCTGTATTCTGGCCTCTGGCTATTTCTGGATCACCTATCTAATTTTTTTCAGTATGCTTGATTATCAGACAGGAAGGGAAATATGAGAGATTCTAATTAACGTCTCTAAAGTGGACAGGAGGAAAAATGAGGGCCTGTGATAATTGCCTACACTAATTTATTTCTTGAGAAACCATATTATTGCTAAGAATCTGGAGTTTCTCCAATAATGCAAGGATTATCCCAGCCAACTCTTAGAACAGGGGATTTTATAGCATGGTTTTGAAAAGGTGGATAAGTGATGCTGAAAGAAGGGAATAGCTTTAGGCTTGCCATTCTAAAGGAAAGTCTCAGCGCGAAACTGTCTAAGCCAGTGGTTCTCAACCTTCTTAATGCAGCAACCCTTTAATACAGTTTCTCATGTTGTGGTGACCCCCAACCATAAAATTATTTTTGTTGCTACTTCATAACTGTAATTTTGCTACTGTTATGAATTGCCATCGGGAATATGTGTTTTCTGATGGTCTTAGGTAACCGCTGTGAAAGGGTCGTTCAACCCCCAAAGAGGTCACAACTCACAGGTTGAGAACCTCTGGGACTCTAAGCAATAGTATTGTGTGAAACAGTGGGTGCAAACTGGAAGCTGCCTTCCATATTGACTTTAGGTGTGCAAAATACCTACTGTAGTGGTTATCTTCAAGGGTTCTAGCTAGCATGAGATTATCTGGATTCAAATCTAAGCTTCACCATTCATGGTCTGTGTGACTTGTGGGAAATTGTTTAATTTCCCTATATCTTGGCTTCTGGTCTTTAAAATGGGAATATATAGCCCTGGCCGGTTTGGCTCAGCGGTTAGAGCGTCGGCCTGCGGTCCTGAGAGACCCGGGTTCAGTTCCCACTAAGGGCACATACCTCGGTTGCAGTTTGTCCCCGGCCCTGGTCGGTTGTGCGGGTGGCAGCCACTCGATGTGTCCCTTTCACATCCATGTTTCTCTCTCTCTCTGTTCCTCTCTCCCCCCCCCCCACTCTATCTGAACAAAAAATGGAAAAATGTCCTCGGGTGAGGATAGAAAAAATAAAAATAATAAAATGGGAATATATAAATCTAAGACTGACTATTAAATTGGATAATGTATATAAAGTACTTAGTGTAAGGCAGTACCTGGGATGCTATGAATGCTGAATAAATAGTAGGACCATTATTATTATTACAGATATTATGACTGTTGTCACTTGAATCTTATATATTAGACAAGATTTAGCTGGAATAGTATATGATAAAAAATAGGTGCTCAGTGAAAGTTTATTGAATTATTACTATGCCAAAAATATCATGATTATAAAACTGAATGATGGGGTTGATGGTTTGGTTGGTGACAGTAAGTTGAGTAAGGTTCGGGGTGAGGCTTCTGGTAAGATAGGTACAGAACAGACTGCTTATAACAAGAAATTTTATTTGCTAGTCAGTGGAAAGGGCTCAAGAGAGTGCTTTGCAGTTCTAGATCTGCAACCGATAAATTGTGTGAGTTTGAACAACTCACCTTCCTTTCTGGGTATTTCCTCATTTCTTAAAAACAAGGAGTTAAGATGAGACAAGTGGTTGTTCACTGTGATTTGGGGGTGGGGAGTGTATCAGAAGCTATTTTAAATCTTATATATCTGCATTTCGATTCCGCATCTTCCCTTTGTCTTTAGATCCTCTCCCCTGCATCCCCTTGTGAAAACTCTTCCTTCTTGGTAACCACATAAAGAATAAAAAGCACCTCATTACACTAGTGACAATTCTGTAACCCAGAAGCCAAGGAAATAATTGACTTTGTATTCATTTGAATAAGAAAGTCTAGGTGTAACCCTAGGTGTAATTCTGAAACTCCTTTCATGGATTTACAGATAAGTGAGTCAGGAAGCCAGCTATCCCATTTTCTACCTTTGCTTAAATTTATTGGGCTGATCCAAGAAATGCTAGTTGGTAGCTTGAGTCAAATTTCAGTAGCCTATAAATAGAGTTGAAGCAAGTGATTTTCAGCTTTTTACTTAGCATTTATGCTATATATGACACAGGGTTATGAAATATTTAGAGACATATTGATACGGGAAAGATAACTTTAAGATCTGTCTGAGAGCATTTTAAGGGAAGCCTGACTGTATTAGTCTTTACAGGTAATTAAACGTTTCTCTTTGTCAAACCTATTGCCTTGCATCCAAAAGTAATCAGGTTATTTATCTCAGTCTATGAGAGCAGCTCTGTGAAAGATCTGTGGCCTTCTGTTGACCAAACCCACCTGTTATTTACTATAGCTTTAGTTGGCAGCAATGAGTTGGTGAATGGGAAGGGAGGAATTGAGGAGAGAGATTTATTGGACCTCAGTAAGAGAAATTGAATCCTCTTACAATTCTATGAGACATAAAAAGAATAGCATGGTGTTGATTGAGCCTGGCTAGATAATTGAAGGAAGACTTACATACCGGAGCCCGAGAGGAAAAGCTTTCATAATCCTAAATCAAACATGTGGACTGGGAATCATATCTCTGTCCTACTCCAAGCTCTGTTACTAACTTGCTGTGTAATCTTGGGTAAGTCTGAGTTTTACTTTTCAATATGTAAAGGAGGATTAGATAAGTATTTTTTCTAATACACCAGCTGTCTCTAAGAATTTGATCCTAAGATTCTATTATGTAATAATTGAAGCCTATCAACATTAAAACATTACAGATTGACCAGATAGAATAAAGAGGGTGGGGCAAGGAAAGAGGGTCTGTTCTGCTCAATTAATTTATGAAGGAGGAAGGAAATGTTGTCCCTGAAGGTTGGGGTTAAGTGACCTTTAGTCCTTAATTTCCTGTGAAATTGTTGGCTCCAGGAATTTAGACTAAAAGAGAACTTTAGAACTCAGAGTGAGTAGTGATTTTTCTTTGAAAGGAGAGTATTTTTAAAATTTATTTCACTTTTTAAACAAGTTTATTGGGGTGACATTAATTAGTAAAAGTATACAGGTTTCATGTGTACAATTCTATAATACATCATCTTTATATTTTGTTCTGTTTCGCCACCCCAAGTCATTTATCCCCCCTTTATCCCCTTCTACCTCCCCCTATTCCTTTTCCCACTAGTAATCACCATACAGTTGTCTGTGTATGAGATTTTTGTTTTTTCTTAATCCCTTAACCTTTTTCAGCTATCCCCCGAAGCCTCCTCCCCTCTAACAGCTGTCAGTCTGTCCCTGTGTCTATGAGTCTGTTTCTCCTTTGTTAGTTTATTTTGTTCATTAGGTTCCACATATAAGTGAAATCATATGGTACGTGTCTTTCTATGACTGACTTATTTCACTTAACATAATACTCTGCAGGTCCATCCACGCTGTCACAAAAGGTAAGAGTCCCTTCTTTTTTATGGCTGGGTAGTATTCCATTGTGTAAATGTACCACAATTTTTTTATCCATTCATCCACTGGTGGGTATTTGGGTGTCAAATCATGGCTATTATAAATAACGCTGCAATGAACATAAGGGTGCATATATTCTTTCAAATTAATGTTTTGGGTTTCTTCAGGTATATCCCCAGAAGTGGAATCACTGGGTCATAATGCAGTTCCATTTTTAATTTTTTGAGTTAACTCCATGCTTCTTTCCACAGTGGCTGCACCAATTTGTATTCCCAAAACAGTGCACAAGGGTTCCCTTTTCTCAACATCCTCACCAACACTTGTTTTTTTTATTTATTGATGATAGCCATTCTGACAGGTGTGAGGTGATATCTCATTATGAGAGTGCTTTTTATTGAATAGATATGTGGAGAAATAAATCATTAATTTTGATCATAAAACCAATATTCTTCAAGGATAAAAAGATGATTAGAGTTGGCCCTCGTTTATTGCAGTTAACATTTCCAGACTCTACCGCGATAAATGAATTTCTGCGTAGTAGGATTCTTTATTTACACACAGTGGTTCCTCCCCACTTCATGCTTCAACTTTCCTTTCACTGCTTCACTCTATTGTGGTTTTTTCAAATCGCAATAGATTGAAACAGCATAAGTCCAAGAGCGAAATGGAGAGGGATGACTGTAAATTGTATTCTCTGGCAGTGAAGTGCTGTTTTAAGAAAGGGCTAATAAGTTCAGATTTGCCCTTTAGAAAGGTCATTCTTGTTATATGCGATGTGGAGAATGGTTTGGAGGCAGGAAAGACTAGATAAGGAGATCCTTGATGAAAAGATCCTCAGTTTAGGAAGTGATAGTAATTGAGAGACTAGGTTGGAGAAGGAGAGGTTGAGGAAGATTCCCAGTTTTCTGGTTTGTGCAGCTAAGATGATGATGCCATTTACTGATACAGGAAACAGAGAGAACAGTGAAAGAGCTATGAGAGTAGAAGATGATTTAATATTTATGAAGAAATGGAACAAAGTTTTGAGTTATCTGAGGCTTTGGTGTAGGCTCTAAGCACTCTACTTGTCAGATAACTTTCAAATACTTTTTATTTCAAACAACAGTGTATGTATTAGTGTGTTTTCTTTGTTGCTAAGGGAGAGGACTGCTGTGGAGACTAATGATGTAATAATTCCCCCCTGTGAACCAATAAGAACACTCGGGTGGGTCTAGCTCAGTCTTCATGCTGAAGGCTGCATAAGTCATTCCATCCTGGCTGCAGCTGTAATATATAGAGAAAAGTGTGGAGGTGGGACTTGGGGGTGGGTGAAGGGATACAATTTTTTTGTTGTTGTTTTGCTTTGTTTTTACCTATATAAGAAGGATGAACCTAGAATCCTCCTTTTCCAAATATATTGGTTCCAAAGTTGAATTTTTCTTTGTTCATGGTCCAGGGGGGCACAAATTTCCCAAATCTTGGTAGGAAGGCATGCAGAAAGTTCCCAAATTATTTTCAATCACATTTAGTCATTTGGTTATTTGAAGTAAGATAAAGTTAAAATGTTGTATTTTTTTTTCTTAGAGTGGAAATTTCAAGGCATTAAATTTTAGAGAAATGGCTTTCATTCGTTTGGATATCAGATGCCTATATGCCATTCTTATTTGCACAGCATTTGGCTCTCCTTTGTCTTCAACCACCGAGATAAAAGGTAAACCAACAATGGCATAGTTTTAAAATTAGGGATATTAACTGTCTTTTCAACTTGCCCTAAGAAAATGCATGACAAGTAGATAGATCGTTATTGGAATTCATTCAGGAAGTCCATGCACAAAAGGTATGTTCCACTAACTGAGTCACCTGATCAGGGTTACTATCCTTAACTTTTAAGACAATTATTTAAATAAAAAAATATATACAGAGATTTAAAGCAAAATTAAAAAAATAATTGTCTAATGAACTCTTCTTATTACTAAAGGTAATTAGAACAATGCATTTCACAAAGGTTTCTAACCATAAAAGTTTAAGCAAGATTGTCATTTCTTCCACAATGCAGACCTTTTTTATTAGTACATGGGAGGCCCACATCAAATTACAATTTGTGCCACGATTTCTTTCTGTGGATTCTTCCCCCCTTACCTCAGTGTTATAAAGTACTAAAATGAACAACAGGGCAGAAATGAGAGGAAATTATCAGCAGAAAGACAACATGAGGGTTGCAGTATAGTACCACTAGTTTTGCTAGTAGAAAAGTTTATAGAATGTTTGTTTGTATTTGTTGTTTAAGTTACCAGATGGGTGAGCCATTGCCTTCTACTGCCTCTTCCCTCAAAATAAAAGGGACTGTTTCCTGATGTCTCTCTATTCAGCTGCTTGCCACTTCTTGAATCACTCCAAAGAGTAGCCCTGGTTTGCCATACTTTAGGTATAGCTCTGAACTTTAGTTTACCAGAGGATTTAATTAATCAGACTAGACCAACAAGATCTGCCTGTTCCCTTAATTCACAAGGCCCTTAGCCATAGTAGTTATATTTTATATTTTCTGATTCTTTTTTCTGTGTGCCTTGATGTTATATAAATACAGTAAACACTGAATTACTACTGTTTGGTTCTTGCTATTAGAGAGATTTACATAATAAAGTGTTTCCATTCTAGACCAAATTATGATCTGTATGACCACAGACATAACTCCATGTTGAAAGCTTTGTTTCTGTGAAAATTTAGTACCTAGCTAAAGTCACATTTTGCATATGATATTTCTTAGAGAGGATAAGTATATAGATCCAGATTTTTTAATTGCTCTATTGAGATATAATTTACATAGCATAAAACTCATCCCTTTAAAGTGCATTGTTCAGTGTTTTTCAGTATAATCACAAAGTGGTATGACAGCCACCAGTATTAAATTCTAAAATATTTCCATCATCCCCAAAAGAAACCCCATATCCATTCAGCAGTCACATCTCATTCTCCCCTCCCTCCAGCCCCTGGCAACAACTAATCTATTTTGTGTCTCAGTGGATTTGCCTATTCTGGATATTTTATATAAATGGAATCATGCAATATGTGGTCTTTTGTACTGGCTTATTTCATTTAGCTTTATGTTTTCAAAGTTCTTCATATTGTAGAATGTATCCATTGTATAGATGTTCCACTGCTTTTTATTCATTCATCAGTTGATAGCCATATGGAAGTAATCTAGATTTAGCCATCTTTGTCATTAGATACAGGAAAAAAGTAAAAATATTTATATTTTATTTCAGTTAATCCTCCTCAGGATTTCGAGATAGTGGATCCTGGATATTTAGGTTATCTCTATTTGCAATGGCAGCCTCCACTGTTTCTGGATAATTGTAAGGAATGCACAGTAGAATATGAATTAAAATACCGAAACATTGATAGTGAAAACTGGAAGGTAAGTAAAGCATTTATTTGCGATATCGGAGCAATTATTAGGAGTTTCCTTGTGATTCCTGATGTCAGTATTCACTCTAATTCCTGTATCTCAATAGCTATTATTAAGATATAACAAGCCACCATGACTGCTGTTCTCAACTGTGCTTCCTGCCACATCTATTTTCATCCCATCCAGTATTAAGACTTCCACTGGATGCCGGCTGGTGTAACTCAGTGATTGAACATCAACCCGTGCACCAAGAAGTCGTGGGTTTGATTCCCGATCAGGGCACATGCCCAGGTTGTGGGCCCAATCCCCAGGGGCATGCAGGAGGCGGCCAATTGATCTTCCCTCTCATCAATGTTTTTATATCTCTCTCCCATTCCCTTCCTCTCTCTCAAAAATAAGTAAAGAAAAATAACAAAAAGACTACCACTGGGAGTATAGAAAAAAATACTTGGTCCCATGGATTATGAACTTGAAGAGTACTTATACATTTTACCATATTTTATAGTTACTTATATACCTGTATATGGGTCATATATATGCTACCAGACTGTGAGTCTTTTCTCTGTGGGAATCAAGCCTTATTTATCTTTGTACTCACCCCACAGAATAAGGTGATTTGTTGCATATATTATAGTAAATTGAAGTATTAACTATTTACAGTCAACAAGCATGTTCATTCAACGATTTCTATTGTACAAGGAACTCCATCACGTTCCTAATTCAGCTAGGTAGTTTCAAGGGGCAATTCAAATTAAATATTTGTTGAGCAACTTTAGGTGCCAGGTACTCTGCTAGGTATCAGGAATACAAGGTAAATAATATATGATTTTAGTCCTCTTGGCTCTCACAGTTTGTCTTGCTTTTTCCAGTTACTTCCAAAATTTATATTATTTCTGAAGACTTCATATGACATTTGAAAGGTGTTAAATCGTTTGTCATGTAATATGCATATAGCGTATGAAAATTATCTCTTGACTTCAAGTTTGTTATAGTTCAAGTCCTGTCACAGAGCCTTTTTTCTCTTCTAGAATTTTTTTCAATGAGCTATTAAGATTCAAATGTCCTCATCAAATTATATAATATTCTGAATTGAGTTCTGCCAGAAATATAACTGAGACATTGTAATAGATAATCATGAGGAATTTCTTAGATATTGAGGCTGTCCAGGGTATTAATGACTAATTAACCTTATTAATGTGGTTCATGATGCCATCACTGTTTCTAAGCCTGACATTATCTCATCTGTTTATCAAACAGACCATCATTACTAAGAATCTACATTACAAAGATGGGTTTGATCTTAACAAAGGAGTTGAAGCAAAGATACATACACTTCTGCAAGGGCAATGCACAAATGGATCCGAAGTTCAGAGTTTATGGTCAGAAGCTACTTATTGGACATCACCTCAAGGTTAAAACAAAGCTCTCCTTTCATGTTTAATATTGTCAGAAAAATCCACAATCCATACAGGGAATAAATCCTTTAACTCTTATATATGAGATTGCATGTACAGTTGCGAGTGTGGCTCAAAATAGAATTATTCTTAGGAGCAGGCCTTTTTGAATTCTTTAAGTTAGCAAACACATTTGGCAAAACCTATATCCTATCCAGCTAATATAGTTCTCAATTTTAGGGTCATATTAATCAATATACATGTGAGCATTTGCTAAACTTCTCAGAGCATTCTAGAATTATTAGTTTAGTACTTGTGTATATGCTCATATTAGTACTCACACTAGTAAATGAGTCCTGAAGGGTTTTTGATTTTGCATACAGTGATTTCCGAGAACTTTCTTTTGAAGTATTCCTGACTATGTTGTTTGCTAAATGAAATGGAGAGTTCAGAGGAAATGAAAAAAAATAAAAAAAGTACTGTGATTTCCCAAATGATTCATCACTGTGCCTTTCAAACATTCATAGTTCATTCATTCCTTAGGAAATCTGGAAACTAAAGTTCGGGGTATGAATTGTATATATTACAACTGGCAATATTTACTCTGCTCTTGGAAACTTGGCATGGGTGTCCATTTTGATACCAATTACAACTTGTTTTATTGGTAAGTACTTTTATAATAAGAATTCCATATTAGGACAATATCTATTAAAATTAAACCATAGTATGAGTAATTATATTTTCACTTACTTATATTCATTATATATTTCAATGTTGTATAAAGTTGTTTACAATTATTTGGGGTCTCATTTTATTTATATATTTTAAAAATATGTTTTTACTGATTTTTAGAGAGAGAGGAAGGGAGAGAGAGATAGAAACATCAATGTAAGAGATAAATATTGATCAGCTGCCTCCTTCATGACCCCCACCAGGCATGTGCCCTGACCAGGAATCGAACCTGGACCTCTCAGTCCATGGGATGATGCTCAATCTATTGAGTCACACTGGCCAGGCTTATTTGGGGTTTTAAATGAGCATGAATAGGTTTAGGCTGTGGCTCTTGGAAGGCACTTTATGGGTGATAGAAGGAATGCAATCTAGATTGCATTATTCGATTAATGTACTAGAATAAGTTTTGTATTGTTTAGATAGATGGAGTTATAACCTAAACAAATTGACATGTTTTATATTCTTGCTTTTTAGAAAGCAAGTGTCTATTAAAACTGGAACCTTTTTCTGACTTTCCTACCTTTGATAACTATTACTGAGGCTTTGAAACTTACAGTTATCTTGAATCTTCTATCTCCTTCATTCCTTAATTGTTTCATGATAACATTGATCATGTCCTGACACTCCTTTGCAAAGTCATATATCTGTTCTTTATTTTCTGTCTCTTCTGTGACAACACTACTTTAGGCTCACCTTATCCTATACCTGGATGATTGCCATAGTTTCCCAAATGATGGTCTCTCTGCTTCCAATCTCTCCCCTTCCTATACTGCAATATTTATATGCCACTCTTTTGCTCAAAAACCTCCAGTGGTTACTCATTGCCTCCAGGATAAAATCTAAATTGCCATTCAAGTCTGCCTCACTGTATTGCTGCCTTTCCAATGTTACCTTCTATTTTCACCACTGTGAATGTTCTACTTCATTTAGACCCATCTCTACATTTTTTCCTCACTCATGTCATGCTCTTTTATGCTTTTGTGTGCATTGCTATCTGGAATGCCCTCTGGCTCTGTCTTTTACGAACTGTATTCCATCCCTCAAGGCCCATCTGGTATTAAATTTCCTTAACGCTTTACTGATCACATCAACCTGTGTTCAGTTTTCTCTGAACTATTATTTATTGTCCAGATGACATTTAACTTTTTGTCATATACATGTATATATGCTTTGTCTCCTCTCTTAAATTTTTAAGAGATTGGTGGGCATGGACTGTTTCTTATATTTCTTTTGACTATCTTTGTGCTATGCCCATAGTAGAGTACCACTAAATATTTATTAAATGAATCAAACAAATTATGCATTTATTAAATAACAGAAAAAAAACAAGAGAGGACAAAATGTTACTCTTTGTGATTTTCAGGCTCAAATTGTCATGGCATTTTTCTTTAGAAAATTATAATAATAAGTGATAAAATATGTTATTAACAATCCTGAGAAGGGTTCTCATTCCTGTTCTGACATCATTTCACTTAGGAGTCTTGGGTAAGCAATTTCCTTTTTGGAGTCTCAGTTTTTTCATCTGATATTGAATTTGTCAGTTTCTGAGGTCTAACTTTTTGTTTATTAAAGCAACAGATATTAAGCAATTATCAAATTCCAGGCTCTGTTCTACATATAAAGAACAAAAATGTGAATAAGACAAAATCCTTGCCCTCTTTCATATTGTATTTCATATTTAGCATAATTCTATCATCATCTTAGTAAAGTAGTGAGTGATAAATATTAACATTATAGAGAATGAAAAATAAGGGTACAGCGAGGCTTCCTGCTGGCATAAAGCAAATTTATGTAAAGTCAAACCCAGAACTCAAGTCTCTAGTCAGGTGAACTAACCAAGAGACTACAATTTTACAAACCTCGCCTAAAGTAAAAATTGGCATAAAGTAAATTCTGTAGAATCCAGATATTTGTTCCAGAATCTTATCAGCTTCTACATCAGCTTTATTTCAAAGGGGATTTTGGCTGCTTTTATAGATAATGTCACATTTTTCACTGCAAGATTTCTTTAGGAAAATAAACCAGGCTTTTGTTGCTTTCGAAGCCAGTAGGGAACTCCCCATTTATTCCCATTGGTTTTATTACTGGGAAGAGGTTAACTTTAAATGATATGGCAACATTTCTTGTCTAGGAAATTGAGAAATTAGATATTTACTTGCCAAATAGTTCCTCTTTTTTTTTCCCCCGACCCCGTTGGCTTTTCAAAGGTTCATCTCTTGATGTGTATTATATTCTCAGAGAATTTTTATTTATTTTATTAAATATAACAATATTTGGTAAATCTGCTTTCTTCAAATAAGTTTTCCTGTACAATATAAAAAAGGAAGTATTACTAAGCATAAGTGTTGTTGCAAATGACATTTTATTCCTTTTTATTGCTGCATAATATTTATACATATTTATATATTGCATCTTTTTCTTTCTTTCTTTTTTTATTAATTTATTTTTGTTACAGATGTTTCTCTGTTTTTTTTCCACTGACACCATCCTCCCCATTCCCTCCACCCCATCCCCAGCTTTGTTGTCTGTGTCCATGGGTTATGCATACATGCATTATATATCACATTTTTATCCATTCATCTATAAATGAATACCTAGGTTGCTTCCACATCTTGTTTATTGTAAATAATGCTTTAATGAATATAGGGAGCATAGAACGAAGATGGCGGCAAGCAGGACCAGAGGGAAGGTGAATGTGTGAGAGTGAGCGAGTGTGTGAGAGAGTGTGAGTGGATGTGAAGGTGGACAACCAAACCTGAGCAGTGCAGAGCCGCAGAGCAGAAGGTTCCTGTTCTGTGGACAGCAGCAGCCGGCTACCTCAGTAAGCAGCCTTTCAGAACGCTTCTCCCTGTGCTGCAGGAAGGTCCTACAGTTTTGGAAGATCCAGGGTCTTACCTGGGAGGAGGCAGTGGCAGTGGCTACGGCCCAGCAACCTGAGCCCACCAGCATACCTGGCACCATCGGACCAGTGGACACTCTATGTCAACACAGACCAGTGCGCAGTTGTGGAGCTCCCAAGGTGCTGGACGCAGAAGCCACAGACAGCCCGGTGCCCAGCACCATCCCCCATAGTAGCAGCCCGATCAGAGTCTAGATATACCCCCAGCAACAGAGGCTGGGGAACAGATATCCATCCCTAGCCAAGAGAAGCACAGACCAGCAGCTAAGACCCATCCCCAAAAACTACAGTAAAAGCTGAGCAGGAGTTGAGCAGCACTCCCCAGCCAACAGCGGCGGGACCTGGGGCTCTGCAGAGGCCTGTACAGTCCAGTAGCCCACAAAAGCAGTGGGAAGCTGTAGCCCCAGAAAGACTGGTGTGATCCAGCTGCCTGCCCTTGGGAACTGCATGGTGCGGGGTCACCAGAGAGGCCTTTGCGACCCAGCAGGGACTATGCCATCCAGTGACCCACAGGACCTGCGGGGTGCTGAAGCACCAGAGAGGCCTGTGCGACCCAGCAGCCCATAACATAGGCATAGAGCCAGGTCCCCAAAAGGACTGTATGATCCAGTTACCTGTGGGACCTGCAGGGTGCAGGGGCACCAGGAAAGTCTGTGAGACCCAGCTACTCACAAGATTGGCTTAGAAGATGCAAAAATGAAGGTGGAGTAAATAGAAGCTATGCAGAGGATCTCCCAGGGAAAAATGGGAATTACAATGAAAATAAAGACAAATCCTCAGGAAAAAAGCAACAGAAAAGCAGCAGGACAGGACCATATAACCAGGGACACTGGTAGGATCTGTGGAGGTGTGAGAGAGTGGTGGGCTGGGAGCCCATGGACAGCAGCAGTCTTAGCTGCAAGCAGTGCCCTTGGGGAATAAACACCAAGCCAGCACAACAGTGTAGAGAGTTGGAACGGAGCGCTAAAATAGCCACATCCACTAACCTGGGGGCTACGGCAGAGGGAGGGCAGACTGGGCTGGAATTCTGTGAGGACAACAGGGATTTGGAGGGCACTCAGAGTTTTGGCAGAGTTGCGGCCACAAAGGACGGTGGCCAGTGTGCTCATTCCCAGAGCTCTGGGGAAAAGCAGCAGCCCCCCACTCGGACATTCAGCATTTCCCAGGTGAGGCAAAGAAATGCAAATTGAGGCTCATTAATAACCAGCAGCTATCCCACCCTCTGGAAATCCTCGCAGAACACAAGGGCTACATTCCAAGGAACTGAGTAACAGACTACTAGCCACCAGGAAAAAGATAGAGGATAACTGAACCACTCCTAGGCTTGCAAATCTACATAGGAAAGTAAGAATTGACAGTGGTATTTAAAGTGGACCCACACAGGCTCATCCAAACCCAATAGAGGGAGCCACAAACAGCAGAACACCAACACCCACAGGAAAAATTTGGGAGGCTCCAAAACCCACTGAGATACCCAAAATGGTGACACAAAGAAACAAATCCCAAATGAAAGAACAAGAGAACTCTATCGAAGATGAGATAAATGAAATGCAGTTAAGCAAATTATCAGAGAGAGTTCAGAGCCATGATCTTGAGGAAGCTCAACAGCATGAATAAGGACATCAGCACCGTGAGTAAAGATATAGAAACATTGAAAACCAACCAAGTGGAAATAAGGAATGAGAGAGCAGAAATTAAGAACACATTGGAAGGACTAACCAGCAGAGTAGAGGAAGCTGAGGACCAGATCACTGAAATAGAAGATAGGGTAGAAAAAAATCAACCAAACAGAAAATGAAAAGGAAAAAAACAAAAAAGAGGAAGACAGCTTGAGAGAACTGTGGGTCAACTGGAAATGTAATAATATTGCTATCATAGGAGTCCCTGAAGAGGAAGAAAATGGGCAAGGGTTAGAGAATATATTTGAAGAAATAGTGACAGAAAATTTTCCTAACTTGGTGAAGAAACAAGGCATTTAATTTCAAGAAGCACAAAGAGCCCCAAGTAACAGAAACCCAAACAGGCCCACACCA